GAAGGCGGCGTGAAAACTGCGTAATCCGGTGGCGAGTCATCGATATCTATAATCACTTGTTGATTGTTTGTGGTTGAAACCATATCGAAATATGAGGAATATAATCGTCTTGCTGAATAAACAAACTTTTTATTTGGGATACACAGAAAACTGATTTACGTAACAATGTAAGTCACATGGATTGTATAATATTATGTAATTTCATGTTGCATGAAGAGAATGTGATCGTTCGTGATTGACAAATTATATATGTACATGATCTACATAACATCAGTGCGTACACACATAATTAGTGTTTAAGGTACGTATTTGCAAACAATTTGTTTTTATCAAAATATTTGTATACAGTAGATGAAAACAAATTTTATTATTATTTATTTTAATTGATGCTTGAATATAAATTATAATTTGATTTTTATTTCTTAACTAAATTAAATTAATATTAAATAAAAATTTTTTTATCATAATAATATTACTATTATTAAATCTATTTAAATTATAACTTTATAATTTTACTTTTTTTAAAAAAAAAATATATTATAATTATTTATATTGGTATTTTCAAAATTTAAAAATATTGTAGAAATAAAAAAATTTTTTTTTTTTTGTTTTTTTAATATCATATTAATTTGTTTTTTTAAATATCATATTAATTTATTTATTGTATTAATTAAATGAATTTATTTTCCAATCATTATTCAATATATTTTCATAATAATTATAATTATATTCACTATATATAATATAAATTATTATTATTATTATTATTATATTTATTGTTATGATAATATGTAAAAATTTAATCACTTAAACTTATTCAACCAAAAATCCAAATATAAGATCGAATAAGTAATAAGCAAAAATGTACAGTACAAATTAATAAGATTTGTATTACCAAATTACTAAGTACTAATCCACAATCATTTAGAAGCATATTCAGATCACGCGAAAAAAATGAGTACATGCCAAGAATATCTTCTATATACCGGTTAAAACAACCTTGTTATATAAATCGCCTAATTTCCTAGTTTCGTGTCACCAATTTATACATGTATTAATTAGTGATTTTCATTACAATTTTTAATTGCCTTTATTTATCATTATGAAAAAAGTAAGACGTGTATTAGCGTCGAAACTAATAGTAAAATCAAAAATACACCTTCCGATTCTCTCCCTCTTTCCGATCCAAAATATCACCAACAAGTCTATTATAATCCTCACAACCTTTCATGTTCCTAATCCACTTTTCGCCCATATCCTCTTGACCATAATTATTCACAATTGTCAACTCTTCAAGATAATCTTTATGTTTCTTCCAGTGCTCTAAAACCGACGGAAATTGACAAATTATTTTAGCCAAGTAAACTTCCACTATCCTTGTGTCTTCGTCATTTGTATTCTCGATTTCCAGCCTTTTCATTTCCATTTCTTGCTTTAGCTTGTTCACTTCCCATAGATAATCATCCGCTTTAGACCGATAATTACTGGAATGCAGGTAAACAATAATTCCTACGAGTAACAAAATCCCATATACAATTATCATGACAGCATGATGAGTGTTTAGGTAAAAGCTTCCCAGGAAATCCATCATTTCGAAAAATATAAGTATGCCGAAGCAAACGAAAAATCCCTTTACATATGAAAAATATACTTTCGCTTCTCGATCCCACTTTTCAAATTCTTTTTGGATCCTTTTAATTTCGGTAACATTAACGGGAAGTAAATCCTTCGCTTTAGAAATACTTTCCTTATGTGCCTTGATGCCCTCAAGAATATTCCTTATGGATTTTAAATTATGGTCATAATTTTTAATCAACTCGTCAATAATTTCCTTTTTCTTCTTCGAGTCCTTGATTAATTCCTTCGAAATGGCCATTAGATGAAGAACTTCTGAAACATTGTTGACTTGAATTTTTAGACTATCGATGAATTGAACCACTTTCTCAGCATGAGCTATGAGCTGTTTGGTGTGTTTAAGAGATTGTAAGGTGTAGAAATAGAAGTATCCATCTAGAATATTAATCTCCCTAAGTTTTCCTTTGAGAAAGATGTCACATGTAGTGAATTTGCAGTTGCCGAATAGTTGCTGGATCGAAGATATGGACTCATGGATTTGTTTCTGCGGTTCACCATCTCCTTCCGGAAGATTATCTGAGGAGGATGAGGCGAAGGTGGATGCGGTTTCTTCCGTTTTTTCCGTTTGAATGTCATCGTCCACTTTAATAATGATTTGAAATGTATCTCGGCTATCCGTTTGATCACCTGTATCGGAGAGGACTTTCATCTTTGGTCTCGATTAATCGGGTGTTTTTTTTTTTTTGCAAACAACTTGTTAATAAATGGAATTTTTTGTGAAATATTCTCACGGCAATCCAATTTTGAGAAAAAAGCATATGATCTGTGCGTTTTGAATGTCCGTTTCCGTCGCGCTCCCTAATTAAACTCCTCTTACATGTGATTGGCTACACTTAAAAGTTTATGGTAAACAAGTAAACAAAGATTAAAGTTTTTATTTATTGTTTTTACTATATGATAACGTAAAAAATTATTCTATTATTAATAATAATCGTTAAAAAATACCACGAATACAAAAACAAACTTTCAATTAATTAATTTATAAATAATAAACTTGTAAATACATTTTATATTTTATATTTGAATAAAAAACTTAATAATAATAATGATTTATAAAAATTTGGTTAATTGATAATTTCTCTATTTTAATTTTTAAATCAAATCAAATAATATTAAAATTTATAAAATTGATTCTTTCAAGTAGAGCAATGCTAATATATAAATGTAGAATTAATCAATCAATAATTTGTTGTAAATAATTTTTTTAAAAAAAATTTAAAAAGTTTAATTTAAATATATACTTTATTTATAATACAATATAATATTTAATTATTAATTATTAATTATTATAATTATTTTTATTATTATTATTATTTTTTATAGGTAAACATTATTATAATTAATTTTACTACTACTACTACTATTATTATTATTATTAAAACAATTAAATATAAAAAAATATATTTATTTTATTAATATACAATATATATAATATTAAGAATATATTTAAAAAACTTATATAAATCAATATATAGTATATATATATATATTACAATTATTTTATTTATTTATTTTTTTTGTAGGTAAACATTATTTCTTTATTTGATTTGTATATAGCAGGGTATACATCGTGAAAGAAACAACATATATATTACAATTATTTTATACAATAGTATTTTATATCTTAATATTTAAAAATTTAATATTTATAATATATTTTTTAACAAATATTTAAGAACTAAAGCTTTTAATAATACTATTTTAATACTAATTCAAAATTAATTTAATACTTGTATTTACTATAAATCCATATAATTAAATTATAATCCATATAATAAATTTATTATATATTAGTATTATTTTGATATTATTTAATATTTTTTAATATTTTTTGAAATTCTACAAAAAAAACAAACCTATAAAAATAAAAATTTTATTACTAGTTTTAAATTATTTAAATTATTAATTTAACAAAAAAGCTTTCACCTGTTTATCACTGATTTTTTTAAAATTTCTTTTTAGAAAATCTTCTTCCAAAAAGCATTTTTCTTTCTTTATTTTCTTAAGATAAATAAGCTTTAAACAAAAGGACATAAAGATTTAAGAAATACTGTTGCAATAAAATATGATCTTTGATCAAGATCTAAGCAAGTTGAAAGTTTTTTTTAGCTCTTGGTTGTATAGAAAAAAGCCTGTGATATTTTTTCTTCATAATTTTTATTTTTAAAACTCTTTTCTTCTATATGACTATTATAATTATTTACTTCTCTCTTCTACTCTTCTCTATTTCACAAATATATACTAAACTACACATTCAAACATAATTACTAGATCCAATGTTTGTCTTAACACAATCTTCACAAATTCTTTATTTTTTTTCTTTTTCTTTTCTTATCAAAAACAATACTACGTTTCATTCTCTTACTTATTACTATACATGTTGCTGAAATTCATAGATCCTTGATACAATTAATGCAATTATTTGACGCAATTAATTGAGTCACTATTAAAACATATAAATAATTGAATCATGGCACAATTATTTTTGAGGATTTTGAGAATTAAGTCAACAGCAAAATAATTTATGCCACACATATACTTATTATTACTTCAAAATTTTTTCAACCAATTCAAAAATCATATTCAATTTTACTTCATCAAAAGATCAATATACAATTAATAATCAATCAAATTTTTTTACTTTTTCAATAACAAAGCCAAACCTGTTTAAACTTATTCTTAATCATTTTTTCTAATAAAAAATTTATATATCAACAATAATAATTACAACAACAATAATAATAAAAATTATAATCAACTGATAATATATTGGATCGAAAGAGTGTATAATTGTGTTCTGCATAAGTTTTAATATTCTTTAACTAAACAAGTACCAAAAAAACACAACAAGATTGGAGCAGGCTTTATATTCAACTTATTAATATTTCAACTATATCACTAATCTACAAACTATCTAACTTTTTACAATTATTATTAATAATAAAGTTGTAATCCACAAGCAACAACACTACTATTAAAGAAAAAAAACACTTAAGTTTAATCAATATGGATGAAAGTAAAGTACTTTTGTTATAAGTAAAAATAAAATACTAAGAATTTGTATCTTATAATCTGGTAGCTTAAGCCAACATTTTTTTAGTATTGTTGAAGTCACACCCAGCTATCGAAAAAGAAGCAATAATCTAGATAAACATATTTGGTTTGTGCCTTATAAGCAGGATTGTTAACACAAAAAATAATTGTATTCAAAATCTAATATTTATTTTCACTATTTCAATAACTTACATCATCAATTCTTTAACTATATGCAGTTTTCAGGAAATAATTAATCTTGACTTCAAATTAATATTATAGTAACTTCATATTATAAAACTGTCAATCTCCAAATATTAATATCTTTATACTTCTTTATTTACATTATAGTGATTTTTCCCCTCAAATTTATATATATATATAAATAGTTTCTTTCTTAATTTTTTTTTTATTCGAGGGTTTTTTTATTAGAAATATATTTACTATAATAAATAATAAACTAATATATATATAGTTTACTTTGTTCATATATCTTATATTTTAAAAATTAATCATGTAATAATAATTATTATATATTAATAAAGATTATAAGACATGTTTCACCTTAACAGTAAAAAAAATTTATTAATCTAATTTAAATAAAAAAAATTTTTTAATTAAAAAAACCAAACAGATATTTCTAATTATTATATTTAATTATAATTTATAAAATATTAATTATAATTAAAAAAAAAACTCTTTTCCATTCTCCTTTTTAGGAAATTTTTGAGTTGTCTGCTTTTTTTCTTCATTTTCCTTCTTCCCCTCTTCCTATGCTCTCTCTCCCACCTCTTTATTTTCCACTCTCTATTTTTTTTTTTCTCTTCTATATACTTTTTTTATTTTTTTACTCTCCCCCTCCTCTTTCCCCTTTTCTCTTCCTGCCAAAGCTAGGTTTTTCTTTTTTTCTGAAGATTTTTCTCTCTAGGCCTCTCTCTCTTTTAAAAACTTTGTCTCCATAACATCACTTCTCTGGCTAGTTGACTCCCTTTTCTCAAGGACCATATTAAGAAGCGGTAACCTTTCTTAGAACATGGACTTTAGAATTTTTCTCTCTTCTATGGTTCCTCAGAAAAAGAATGAATGGCTTATCCCCTTTAAAAGATCGACATGGCCATCATTACCAAACCCAGCGTTGTTTACTGATCAGCAGTTAGACTAGATATGCCCAAGAAACCTTTGTACAACTATTATTATCCAAAAGTATCCAAGGAGTTGCACCTTACAGTATTCAGAATAAAATAGCAGCCAATGTCAATACAGCTAGCAATAAGTTAGGTTAGTTGCAGGTATCATGCTAGTGATTGGAGAACTTAATAGAGTAATATGTAATAATTAAGGATTCTAGTTACCCTCACAACATGAGCTGGTGACAATAACAAAAGTTATTTGCTTACCTCTCTGGCAACATAGGTCTATTGTACAAGATTAGGTTCCAGTGCCACTAAGAAAACCAATATGAACTCCACTTATAAAATACTTCTGCCACACTTGAAGCATGAGTATGCCGAATCTTTTTTATGACTTGAAGACAAACTTATATAAAGTGACTGCAGTGTCTTTATGCAAAAAGTTACTCATTTCTTATTACTTCTAACACTACTCCGCTTGTCATACATCAAGCCATATTTGAAAAGCAGGCATGCCAATCCTAATCATAACTTGGAGGCCAACCTGTATAGATTGGCTACAGTGCCTTTATATGATTAGATATTCATTTACTTCTAGATAGCTAGATACTATTCATAATATAATATAGATTTTTGAATTTCTTTTTGTTTGTATTTCTTGAATAGTACTAAAAGAGTACAGGGGTCTGGCCCTATATGGGAGCCTTGTATTAAACTCTTCCTAGCAAAGAGAGATGTATGTTATATTATTGAATATTGTACTTTGCTTTGCGAGTGAATGTATAATAAATATAATAAAGTATGATAGCCATTTGCTCTTTTCAAAAAAAAAAATATATTAATTATAATTAATTAAAATATAATATAATTTTTAATCTATATATTCAAATATAAAGTTATATTAATAATAATTAAATTTAATTAAAATAAAGTATAATCTAGTAAAAAAAAACTCTCTTCTGATTGTATTTGTTTTGTTAAAATTTTTCCTATTATAGTAATTTTAAGCAAGAAAAAATATTTTATACTATTTATCATAAATAAGCCCAGCTCAAGAACTCAAAAACTTTCAAGACAACTGATACAATAGAATAGAACCTTTGATTAAAGTCTACTCAAGTTTGGAAGTCTTGCTTATTCTTTGATTGCATAAGAAAAGGCTTATGGTGATTCTCTTTTCTTTTATACTTTTCCTTCCTTTTATTATATTACAAAAACCATTTATATTAATATTGTTACATTTGCTTAATCAAACACTTTCCAAAAACATACTCAAACAAAGTTGTTGGGTCTATTGTTTGTTTTAATACAATCTTTACATATAACTTTACTATGGTACTATTTACTGTATCATTTTAAAATTTTCAAAAAATTTTTTCCAAAAAACTGAAATTGGTTTATTCTTTTCAAATGATTATCGCTCTTCAATCATCCAATCAGATTTTATAAAAACAACAAAGAAAAAACTGAATCTGTTAAACTAGTT